GTGAAGCTTCATAATAGGATACTTCAGATGAGATTTTAAGTATTCTAAGACTAGGTAAGTGTTCTAAACTTTTTTTTAGTCGTTTTTCCCTTTGAGCTGCAGATTCTGAAATTTTAGAAAACCTAGGGTTTGAAAGATGGATGAATTTTTGATGAGAAAATCTGGTTGTTGAGGTTGTTAGTAGTGTAATAAATATTCTAAAGTATTATTTTATTAATAGAATTGGAATTTGAGGCATTTGAGTTTATCCCTAGATTCCTATGGGTAGATTTTTGGTTAAATCTGAAAATATAAATTAATTTGTTGATATTTAGATGATTATTTGAGATGAGAAATAAATTATTATGGCTATAGAATAATGATTCTAGGCTTGAAATCAAGTTTGCAATTTTTGGGTATTTTTATGTGCGAATTTTTGGAATAAAAAGAGAAATTTTGATATTAAAAATTATTTGAATGAAATTATTGTGAAGGAGACTATTGAACCAAGTAGATAGGTTTAAATACATGAAATTAAATTTTAGAATTCAAGAGACTAAGACTAAATTCTTAATATATATATATATATAAAATAAATATAAAATAAAATAAAATACATACTTAGGTGTTAGAGTATGAATGAAAATTGTGTTAATAATATTATTGACACATTGGGATATAATCAATTATAGATTAATTTTCTTTTGACACCATTCAAGCTTTGGAAAGCTTTGAAAGTGTTGTAACTTGAGGGGTAACCTTTGACCTCTCAAAAGTTGAGGTAATCGGGGAAAATCTATTTTATACATTTGTATGTTAATTAATTATGTTAGTGAAATAAAAGAATATATATATATATATATCTAAATCTGAAATAGTTGTTTGTAACGCATGTGACTTTGTTGAGACTTTATGACTTGTGAGTAATGAGATTGATGGTTGATGATTATGTGTACACCCTTAGTTATAAGTTGTGGATAATGCACAGTGATGAAAGTTGATGAGCATGTGGGATAATTTTAAAATATATATATATATATATATATTATTTTTTGAAATGCATTTTCTCATGAGCATGATCATATGGCGGGAATTTGCCTTAGTGAAGGAGTTAGCGATTACACAAAATCCATATGGTACTTGCCTATTAACCAATAATCCTAGGGGTTATAACCGCTACTTACCTTGTAAGGTATTGTAGCATTGTTCCTATTAAGGGACTTGACCCTACACCTGGAGTTTTGGGTAGAGCTAGTTTTGGGTATGACACCCCATAGTGTATGATTTGGGGGAAACCGTGTTCATAAGTGAGTAAGGTAACCTTGGCCTGGTAGCCCCTCATGATATGATTAAGGCCTTGGGGTAGTCTCACCACATGGACGATCCCTTTCGGTTGTTGGCCCACAGATTTCATGTCAGAGGAAATAAGGGGGGATATAAGGAAGAGATCGATCATGCATATTATTATTATCATGCCATTTTAGTGATTGATGGCTATGTTGAGAATATGATTGTAATTGTAGAAATGAGAACATGTAGTAATTATGCGAATAATGTATATGTGGTTATTTGTGCAAATTTTGTACTTGACTTTATTTTTGAAATTATTCACATGAGTTAAATGTTAATGTGATTAACATGTTATTAATGTGATTGTTTGAATGATCACTTTAATTAATTTATTGGCCACTTGCAATCATGATTAATTATCATGTATTTGTATAACTTAGATGTACCTTGGTTACTGAGTGGTTGTACTCATCCCTCTCTTTTAACATATTACAGGAGCTAGCTTATTTGAGAAGAACAGAGGAAAGGAGCATTAGGCCAAGTGATAATAATCACTTCTGTAGGCCTCTCTCCTTTTATTTGATATGTGTATTTAGTTTATGATATTGCCAACTAGGATAATATATTCTTAATCCACTTGCATTATGGGTTTTGTGTTGGGGGAAATGTATTTTGGGCCTTAGGGAATGTGGTTTGATGCTTGTGATATAATTACGGGCCAAAATATTTGTGCAAGTAAAAATAGTTATTATCATGCTTTCGCATATGTTTAATTAAATTATATGAGTTTTTAAAATATTTTAAAGACTTGAGATTCCTTTATATTAAATAGTTTGAAAAAAAAATACATGTTAAGAATTCATTTGGGTTAATCTCGTATTGGATAATCCATTTGGGTTAGTCCTTGATTAACCATGATTAGTATGATGGTTAGTATGATGATTAAGTCCTAATTTAGGATGCTCATTACATTAGTCAAACCTTAGTTATTGAGTGGTTGTACTCACTTCACTATTTTTAATATTACGGAGAATAGCTCAAGAGATGTGGATAGAGGAAAACACCTAGAAGCTTAAAATTGCGATCCTTTTGTAGTAAGCCTCTTTATTCTAAGTAATTATATGTGCATGATAATTTCAATTGTCAATTAGGAATTCTCATTTGTTCCTTACTTGCATTATGTGAATTGTAAATTGTAAGTATATTTTGAGCCCTAGGGAGTGAGTTGATGAATATGTGTTATTGTGATAGAGCCAAAATACTAATGTAAGTAAGAGTAGAGCATATTATAAAATGATTTGGAGAACTTGATGAAAATTATGGTAAACTCTCCCTTTTTATGTTTTTGAGTTTAAAGAGTTGAGTAGTGAAAATTTAATCTGAGAGTATTTCATTTGATATGGTGCATTACACAAGTTAGTTTTAATGATTTGTATGTGATCAAATTGGTATCGGTGGCTATTGGCCTTTGACATTTGGTTTGGACACTTGATTTTGTGAAAATTGTTATAAAAATGTAAGTTTTGAAAAGTGTGTCCAATTTTTATTTTACGAAGAATTTGAATCTATGACCAATGCCATTATTTAGAGTTCAAAAAGAGCTTTCTATAGAAGCCTAGTTCACATCATTCAGACGTCGGATGGAGATTTAGGACACGTCGAAAGTTGGCCCTAATGCTGTCAAATTGACAGCAGAATTTACTGTCAACATTTGTGCAATTGTGCCGCGACACATAATGCCACGAGCCGCGGCGTGTGTCATAGAGGCAAACACGCCACGATGCATGTTCAATGAGTCGTAGCGCACGCCTTAAAATTTTTCAAAAACTCTCTTGTTTTAAATTCTTAAACAAATGCACTCACTTATGTAATATTCCCATACTTCCACATATTTGTGAACTCTGATTTGTCAAGTTACAAGACTTTGAAAATGATTTTGGTTTTGTAAATTTAGGGTTCCCATTTTGCTAATCATTGAAAACTTAGTATTTTGTTAAATACTATAATCCCATTCTCTAATTACTTGAGACTTGGTTTTAATTATGGGATTAGAAGGTGGAGGATATTACAACCTTAACAACGGCAACCTCTTGTCCACTTTTGGTGACTTTCTTAGCTATGACACATGGTTGCTTCCTCTTTATCAGCAACGATGATCTCGTTCATTCTTCACCACATCAATCTCCTCCAATCTCATACCACCTTCCTTAAATATGCAAATGACGACGATGAATCAAGTTGTCTTCTTTTGTGTCTTCTTTTCTGACAACAAGTAAACATGTGTATGCCACCTAAAACAAATAAATAAGGGTCTTCATTTCAAGCTTTTTGGCTTTCATTAATGAAATGTCTCTCCTTTGTGATTTTTGAAAATACAAGACCTTCATCTCTGATACAAGCCTCTGACCTCTATCATCGTTAGCAATGGTAAGATCGATGAATCCTTAAAGGCATGAGTATTGGTTCGATCTTCTCTCTCCTCCATCTTCTGGATCTTCAATCTTTTGCTTGATTTGGTTAAATTAATTTTGGTGTTCTGATCTTGGTTTGTAGTTGTTAGATTCGAATATTTGATGTACACTTGATTTATGGGAGCATTCCTGAAGTAGGTAATCTGCCAAGGAATAGAAAAGAAAAGTTGCATCCTAATTTGCTCTTGAGGGAAGGTGTTCATGAAAGAAATCATCACCGGTGCTTTTCAAGCTTGAAGGTCCGATTATGAGATTTTGACTCTTCTAGTTTTACAAGGGCACAATCTTTGGATTTGATAAAAGTTGATTCCCATATAATTTTTTTTTCTTATGAAATCTACTTCTTAGTTGATGAGTTCTTTGTGGCAATCAAATCTCCAACCAGATCTTCAATGAATAACTTTGCTATCGAGGATGGTGTCTCCAATGGTGGGGCTGGAGGATAGTTTTGTCAATTTGGAGTTTTTTAGTAAGGGTATTTTGATCTTTTAATATAATAAATATATATTGTTGAAAAAAATTATATCAAGATTCCATAAACATACCAAACATATTTTTAAATTTCATTGTCACTTCTATATCCATATTCATTTTCATCAAAATTATTTTTATCATACCAAACGAGGCATTAAGTGTTTCAACTCTGATTCCTTATACAAACAAAGACTCAGTGGCTTGTTGACCTTTTGTTTTTTTATTATCATTTTCTACTTTATTTTAACTTGTAAGACTTTTTATTATTAACGATATCATTTGACCTTTTACCAAAATAAAAGAGTATTTTTCATCTTAAATTATAAGAAACTTTTAGATAAAATTTTATATATCAATAAATTTTATTAAATACACTTAACTTTATTTTTTTCAAAACAAAAATATAAACTTCTAAAAACACCCATCATTTAATATATTAAAAAAAGGATAAAATTAATTATAAAGGGAGAAATGATAATATTAAAATTAATTATAAAATTCTAATCTATTTAAAATATCTTATATTTTAAAATAATTTTTTTTTAAAGTATTTCATAACTTAAAATGAGGGGGGTATTATTTTTTCTTTTTTTGAATAGTTACCGTTAGTTCTTGTCTTAACAAAACCCAAATATACGACTTCTGACAAGCGTCCAAACGATAACCGACCCCACAACATTAGTCCGTTTACGACAAACAATTTCAAATTCAAACAGCTTACGATCCAGTACATCGCACAAAGCGAGCATCACAATATTCAGTGAGCCTGATCTCAGCCCAGGAACCCTACAACGCTTAAGATTTCAATCTGAAGTGGACCCACATATTCAAATGGGTCTCTGACTCTGAGTGGAACCACTGAACAATGGCTCATGAGCAGGATGACATTAAAATCATCATTCTCGTATTTAAATTCAAATCCTAGTCTTGTTATCTCTTTCCCAAAACCACCCAGACCCAGTTTCTATCAAGAGCTTAAATTTCTTTCTTGCAAAATCCTACAAGGTTTGTTCCTTCCTTTATCAGCCATGTCGGATGGATGCAAAAAATCCTCCATTTTAGGTCAGTCATACAATTCTCTCTACGTCAATCCCCTCACTGAATTCCGGCACAGTCGCAGTTGCAGTGATAGTGTCCGCTTAGCCTCCAAATGCGACAAATGTGAAGATTTCACGCACCGAAAAGTTGCAACTGATAATAAAGAGAATGTCACGCCCAAGAGGAAAGATGCAACTCTGTTTTGTGACAAGGAAAATGCAGTGCCTACGAATGGGCCTTCTTCTTTGCCCAAACATTTCTCAAAGTCCAAGTCTTTGTGCACAGATAGGATTTTGAAGCCGAACTCGCTTCAGTTTTGTATGCAGATGAACGAACCTGAAAAGGCTTTTGGGTCCAAGATATGGGATAATGTGCATTTTGAAAATATGAGCTCTTTAAAGATTTGGGATTACTCTGATTCAGAGGCAGCCCCAGCTTCTTCCTGGTCAACGTTGCCCAATAAGTTAGTAAAATTCTTCACTGTTCTTCTGTTAATGTCTTACACTCTGCAAATTTTTCATTTCCAGTTCGAAGTAGATTAAAATATGTTGATTGTTCGTTCAGGTCTTTGATCTGTAGATCGTTGCCTATAGATATTGGAAGGTGTACGTGTCTTATTGTAAAGGAAGCAAAACCAGAAGGACTATCCGGGGGCACTATGTTTTCGCTTTATACTTATGTAAGACAAACATTTCTGTGACTTTTGCAACAAACTAGATGAACTTTATCTTTCACATCATTCAACCTTAGAAAAATTGCCTGTTTAGAATTACTCTTGAATACATGCATAAGGCAATAGTAGACGTATCTCTGGCAATTTAGCTTTGGAGGGTGAAAACTAAAGATTGGACTTAAGAATAATTCCATTTTCTCCCCTCTTAGAAGCTGATATCTATGGATTGAAGTGGCAACTGTTATATTTCTTATGTCTTAGCATCCTTTTATACTGTAACAAGGAGCAAGAACTTCACTGACAAGGCTAGGATTTGTAAGCAGACATTTATATATGTACTAACGTGCTTTATAATTCGTTGTGTCAAATAAAGTTGTTAAACAATGATTTATAGTCGTTATTGCATAATATTGTAATAAAGTTGGTTTTTTTTATTTTTTGGGGGGAAAAACCTTGACTTAGTCTTGAAATTACAGGAAGGTCAAGGTCGCCAGAATAGGAAACTCGCTGTCGCTTATCACAAGAGGCGGAATGGGAGATCTCAGTTCATTGTGGCTCACAATGTAAAAGGTCTCTTGTCCAATTCAGATGATAGTTTCCTTGGAACAGTAACAGCAAACCTCCTGGGTTCAAAATACCGTATTTGGGATCAGGTTCAGATTTTTGCCACCTACGTGCACAGGATTCCTTTAAACTGTTTAGCGGAAAGTTTACGTACCATAAATTTCACTAATAGTATTTTTTGTTTTTTTCAAAGCAGGGATTTCATCATAATTTGCATGATAAACAGTCAAAACCACCTCTTGCCGTTGTGATGTAAGTCGATATTTCAATCTTCCTCAATTCCCCACTGAGTGACATTATCCTCTACCCATTTCAGGATTTATTTGTCTTTGCAGGTTTATACCTACAGCAGCAACATGTACAGGAAGTTACAGAAGTATGAGGGCATATGTACCCAAGCATCAATCTATGTCACTAAAGAGCACAGCTCAGGTTACCTTCAGATTGTTTATGGTTTTTAAATCCGTACTATCACCATATCTTTGCATGTATTATGCCCACAAATTCACTTAGCTTGTCTTATACACCACTTGATGTTTTATATAAATGGAGTGTTTGCTTTTGACTTCTTTGTCTTCCAGGTTCAACATATCAAAGGACTACCCATGGATTGGGAGGGAAAGTTAGACAAAGTCCATCAATTGTTCTCAAGGGTTCCACTTTACAACAAAGTAAGACAAGAACCTAAGTGGGATGCTTCCTTTCAAAATTTCTTATAACACTAGGCATCTGGACTTAACAAATTGCTATTACTTTCCTGCAGACTTCAAAACAATTTGAACTTGACTTTAAAGATAAAGGAAGAGCAGGACTTAGAATCCAAAGATCGGTAAAAAATTTCCAGCTGACTTTGGAGGTATAACTGTTTATATGTTTAAGCCAGCTCTAAAGGGTTTAACTGACTTGTTTGTTCATACAAATAAACTATTTAGTCTGCTTAACTGACTTGTTTGTTCTCTGACTAGGAGAATGGGAAGCAAACTATTCTTCAACTGGGTAGAGTTGAGAAATCAAAATTTGTTATGGATTACAGGTACTGGTTTAAATGATCAGCTTACAGGAGCCTACAGTTTAAATCACAAAGTTCGAAACAAACATGAAACTTAGTCTAACAGCAAGTATATTTTCTTCTGAGTATGCAGATATCCTTTGACAGGTTACCAAGCGTTCTGCTTAAGTTTAGCTTCCATTGATACCAAGCTCTGTTGCTCTGTGTAGTGAGAATTCTTTGCGACCATGTTTAGTTCAACCTCTGAACAGACCATGGCTTCTTGCTCTCTCATTTTGCCCCCACCCTGAGGGTAAGACCAGAAAATGGACAAATCATGCTTCCTAATCCAATGGATTGAATGTGCTTGAGTATATCATTGTTCAAAAGAAAATGAATATTTTGGAAGAGTTCAAGTGGCACTTGGATCTCATTAAGAAGTTTTGAAGATTTAGACAGTTAAATAGAAAGTCAAGTTTTGCTCTAAGAATTGGAAAATCCACATGCTGTGGTGAAGATAGAGTTCCTATCGAGCATTGATTGTTTCAGTTTAGAAGCCTTGTATGTTGCTGGATAGAGTTTTCCCTAGTGCTTCTCTACATTGAACTCTATCTTTGTCAAAAGAAAAAGGGGGATTTTCACTGCATAATTAAACTTTGAAGCACAATTGATTGTATTCTGTTGTGAGATCTTAAATGCAAATTGCATAGTAACCCCTCCCTCTTCACCCTTTTAGTGTACAAAGAATATCCCATTTTCATTTCCAGCATTTTATAATGATTGAAGCTGCATATGTGGATAGATTACCTTCCCCCATTTCAATTCTTTTACAATAGCTTAATTTCTTACAAGTTGTTTGTCACGCAGAATGAATGAAATTTAAAAATATATAGTAATTTAATAAATTAGTAATCCTTGTATTTTTGAAAACATAATTATAAAAAAGAAAATTGTTGGGTGAAGATAACAACAGCATGAAAATATTACATCTTTCAATTTTTTTGTCAGAGAAACGAATTATGTTTCTCTTCCCATATCAAACATTCCCTAAGTTTTTCCTTAAACATTCTTTAGGAAATGCTCCATTCATGTGAAACTGCAAGGCTCGCCTCCAAATCCCACTTTTGAGTGTTTGATATCATATACTATCCTCTGGTTCTTCTGCTGATAATTCCCAATAATTCCAGTTTCATATTCATCAGAAAGACTTGCTAGGGCCAAACAAACTTGCGAAGCATCCTCTTTTACCATGTAGAGTATGCCAGTTACATCCACATTCAGCTCAGCATTATCCTCAAAATACATTCTTATGGTAGGTATGTTTACTTCTTGATACCCAGTAAGATTATAACATGTATCCAAAATTGAAAACCCTGGTGCTGAAGGGAAACCAGAAAACTGTTTGGAGAACTCTGCCTTCAGAGCCTTGTAGACTGATGGAGCAAGCCTTGTGATCACTGTTCCAGAGTCAATTATTACCCCACGACTGCCAAAACTTGGAGCTTGAAGGGCAACACCACCGACATTAATGCCAGTGAGATTCAGAAAATAAAAGGTAGATAGCTGTGGGTTAGGAACCATTCCAGTGTAAGCAATGGGAGTGACATTCTTGAAAACTGAAGATTCATTACCCATAACTAATGACCCAGAAGCTCCATCCTCTGTTGTTGGCAAACAGTAAGAGAAAACTCCTCCAAATATAGGATCAGTTTGTGAGATCACTGAGAGTTTACTTCTTCCCAAGCCCATCAGACCTGAGGTTCCTCCAAACAAACCTTTGTTATTCTTACCACAACCAAATACAAAGTTGTTTATTGATATGCCTCCAAAACTAAGGTGCTCCATACCTAGTTCACCATTACTATAGGACCCATCACCATAGTTAACCATGTAATTGCAAGTTGGTATGTTTTTTTCACATGTTTCTGAATTTCCAGTGGCAGGAAGAAGAGATTGACAGGTTGTTGAGTTGCACAGAACTGATTGATATGAAGGGGATGTGGAAGGCTTGAGCAATGGTCCTTGTTGATCATAACATGACTTGCAAGGTTCACATTGGACCCATGTAAGGTCGCTTCCAGTGTCAACAATCACTGTCATGTTCTGCTTACCCAATCCCATTGTAACGATGTAGTTTAGAGTTTGGAGAACTATACCAGAAGTTAATGGAACTTGGGTTTCTGAAACGTCCTCAATATGACCAGAGACCGATTTTCTGATTCGGTTTTGCATCCAACGTACGCGAAGATTATCAAACACCAGCTGTTTCTGAAGCCTCCTATTCCAATCAAGCTTTCTCGTTGAGCAGCGAACCCCGTCCTTCATTTCCATTACAATAGCTCCATTCTCCCTTCCTGGGAATTCAAATCCAATGGACTTAGAATGTAAATCAGAGGAATCAAATCACTGATAGAATAGAACACAATACAATCAAGAGAACATATAAACCAATTCATTACTTAATTAAGCCTGTAATAGCACTGAGAGAGAACGATGAAGTCCTAGATCCTAATAGTAAAGTACAAAACAGTTCCGATAAAAAAAATGAGAGATCCAAAAGTAAAACAAAGATAACATCTTATAATAATTTGAGCTTCCTATTTTCATGTATCCTAACTTACTTGATTCTGGGAGGAGACAACCTAGGGGACCAAGTTGCGGTTTTGCCTGCAACTTTTGCACTTTGAGAGTCTTCTTCTCACCAAAAGAGTGAACGCCATTTGCAATGATGAGACAAAGAGAAACAAGGAAAAGAAAGAATGGTGAAAAAGCCATTGCCCTTGCCATCGCCATTGCTGGAGATTGATAGGGAATGGTCGAAGATATTAAGAAGACAAGGAGGAAGAAACATTGAGACACACAAAGAAAAAGGGAGAGAAGAGAGAGAGGGGAAATGGGGGAGATTCTGAGGAATGGATTTTGGCATGAGAACAAAAAAAGAAGGGCTGGATTAGAGACCCCACAAGTGCATGAGAAATTATTGGGGTTTCACGTGCACGTATTGAGAAAACAAAACAAGTGCTTGTGTTTGTTGGTGGTGTAGTGGGTTTGGATTTTCAATCATCTTATTGGTCTATCGAAAACCCATTAAGATAAGACCTAAGTACTCTCATGGAGTCAACTGTCACAACTTGCTCACACAAGAGATTACTCAAAACAGTTCTACACATTCTTTTCCAAGTTTGGCCTGTTAAATATACCTTTCTCATTTCTGAACAATGGTAATTTTTCTTCCACCAAAGTGTAATCTTGTAATGGGTAGGTTAGTTAGTTCGATGATTGAAAGATTCTTGGGGACTGTGTACATAATGAAACGCAAATTCTTCATTGTTAGGCATGAATCATGATTAGCAATTTATCTTTCTGATGTTAAAAAGTCAATGAGTCATATCATATGCAGTAATAATAATAATTACTGTAATAAATAGGAGGTTTTCATCATAAATCTCAAAGAAATTGAGGTGACTGCCATGTTAGTGCCTTGTTGATTGGCTTATTAATTCTGTAATCAGAACTATAAACTTTGTCTGAATTGGAATGGTAGTATCTTTATTTTATTGTTTCATGTGCAATCCAAATCTGTTCATGATTACTACATTTTAAAAATGTCTTACAATATAAAATTCCTAATCAACAAGGAAGAGGGTTGGGAGCGAGACCACTGAACTATAATATAAAATTACAAAAAGAGACGTAAATATGTTAGAATATTTAAATCTCTCTCATATACTTATTTTTTGAAGTATTTTAAACAATAAGATCTATAATAATTTACTCAAACCCAAGATTGTGTAAAGCGACACAATAGTAAATTATTGATGCTTGCAGGAATTGTGAAGTACTCTTGCAGCTGTCCTACTTTATGAGGTAATTTTAAATGTCATTTCGTATCTTAATATTAAAGTTTATTAGATATATTTTTCTAATATTACACTTCATTTCTTATTAGTATATTATCTTTTTATCTCTCTCTTTTTGATAAAATCTCTCTCTCTCATGTTTTATTAAATGGTATTTTTAAAAATTTATATTTTTTATTTAAAAAAATAAGGATGTAACTTTGTTGATATGCATAATCTTGTTTAAAATTCTTATAAAGTGCAATGGAGATAGTGCAAAATAAAGTTGGAATGGTTGGTTCAATATCATGAGGCTGTACGATAGGGTGTTGTTGAAGCTAAAATACAAGGCTCTGAGCATGCTTACAACTTTTGGTAAGTGAAGTGATTGTATTTGAGAATATCTTCTCTCAAGGATAGATTGATGTCCCTCCTTTGAAAACATCCCATATTATGAATTCCACCTCAAAATGTGTAGGCAAATTCTTGAAACACTATTGTCATTTGTTGAAACGTATTTAAGAAAATGAAAATTTCGGTTTGATATATATATATATATATATATATATCAGATGCCAATAAATATTGCTTCAATTGCTGAGGATATCGCACATACTTACACACAAAAAACATGTGTTTACGTCCTATTATAATGTGAGGGTTGTAATTCTTCTTTTTATATGAAAAAGTTTAAATAGGTTGGGTACGAGGACTTATTAAAGTCCAAACATGTCTCCAAACTTATATAAGGGTTGTAATGTCCCATATAATTAAAATTAATTTAGGAAGCTTAAGGTTTGAATTTTTGAAAATTTGGTTATTTTTTAATGATGGAATAAAAATGAGAAAAAATTTCAAGTATTGTGGTTTTCAATGATGCTACAAAAATAGAGGTTATGGGCACTATAGTGATTGGCCATCCCATGCATGTTGTAGACATGGGACTTATTAATAGTCATTGCATTGGGGGGAAAAAAGACGGAGGAGGTAATCATGGTTCTATTTCTTTATGTATGCTTTTTCATTGTTGTGTAACCATGTCTATTCAAATAATGATGGCCACCTTGAAAGTGTTATCTCTTGTTTGTGTCCTACCAATATATAATGGCGGCGCCAAGACTCAAAAACAACAGGTGCAAGTAATTTAATAAAAAAATTAATATTTTTTAAAAAATAATTATACTATAAGGCTAAAATATAGTAATATAAATAGATTGATTAACATTTTTTTTCTTAAAAATTATAATAAATAAGTTGATATGATCTTTTATATAAATATGCTTTTCATATCTTATATTAATCATTAAACTATTTTATATTTATTAAGCTTTTGAGATCAAATATTTTTCATTTAATCTAGAGGGTGCAAAATATTAAAAGTAAAGGTATAAAGTTATAAATTTTATATACTGCATTTATAATAATTTTTAAAGTGAGAAGGTGCATTTGTCCCCGATCACTATCATGTGGCTTCACCACTGCTAACATGTATGTCAAAATGTATGTATATACATGGGGATGATATTGTGTGTTGTGATTATTATCTCTAAATCTACATGTAAGAATCAAGTTTAAAACTCACAATTTAATCTTGACTAATTGTGAAATGTGGAATTTGTGAATGATACGGCTCATATAGTGTATTGAGAATGATATGTATATATGTATGTATGATATCATGTGAGCTCTTTGACTCCTTCAATATATATAACTCCTTTAAAAGTCATCATCTATCAAAAATTATTAGGAGAATTAAGAAGTTAGCAATAAAAAATTGAATAATCGTTCAGAAAAGTTAATATATGCACTCTTGCATATGAGGTTTCTGAAGACAATTTAAATTTTCTTATTTTTAGTCAACTACCTTTAAAATGCAAAATCCTTTTACGATCTGATATGACCTGAGTTGTTATCTTTTTACACAGTTTTTCCTGCAGTCCTGTCCTAATAAACAAGTATTGTGCGGTCTGTGTGGATCTTAAGGTTTGGTCTTGGTTTCAAGTGGGATACAACACACATGATTGGTTCAGCCCATTTAGTTCATCACCATGTAATTCGAATTCTGAAGAACATACTTGAGAGTTGGAACGAAAATACTCTCATCTCTGTTTATAAAAATTTTTGTCTCTAAAATTACGGATATTAATAAAGTTTATTAAATAAAATTTGTAACCTTATTTTTAACAAAAACATAAGTATACATTTTTTAAAATACCTTACATTTAATATAACCTAATTTGCGAAGTATTCCCTTTGATTTAAAATATGAGCATTTTCTCAATTAATTTTGGTTCTAAATATAAGTAATCTAATACATATAAAAAAATTTATCATTTTTGGCTTGTATTTATTAACTTAGATTTTTATGTAAAGTTATCTTTCACTCATCATAAAATGCATTGATAATTAAAATTAAGGGGAAAAAAATGAAAGTAATACATATTTTTATGAGAATGAGAACTTTATTAATGTACAAATTTTTCATGAAAACTGCTTATATTTTAGAAAAGAAAGAGTATTAGATAGAGAGAAAATATGATGAGGAGGGATACTGAATTACACCCTCAATATGTTAGTTAATTTTCTCTAAATTTTATTTTCACCAAAGTATCTTAAATTTTAAAATATTGAATCATTATTAAAAGTATCTTATAAATAGAGACAAAAGGAATAATATTTATGGTCAGTGCTATACTAGTTTATGTTAAAGTTGTATAATTGTTGTGTTTAAAAGTTGCTCCCTCAATTAAAAAATATAAGACATTTTTAACTAATTACATCCATAATAAGTTAGTTAATTGTCTTTCAATTAATACCATCTTTCCATGTCTACCTATATTTAATAATGTATCTTATTTAAAGATGAAGGTTAAGTGATTTATTTAAGTGCATTTTTGAAAGAAAAAATTCATTAATTACATATTGAAAAACTAAAAATATGTTTTATATTTTTGAACATTTAATACCTAAAAACAGCACTGTATATTTTTTAAAGGGAGAGTAAAAATTTTTCCCTTAGTTTTATCTCAAGAAATTGGGATATTTTAATTTGCTTGGTTTATAAGGAATGTAATTGTTTAGCTGATTGATTTGCTTAGTTAACCCAGAGTACAAGCTCTGCTTTTGAACATATTTGAGTAATCTCTGCCAATTATTAAACATAGAACAACACAATAGAAGGCATATGAGCCATTGGAAGTTCCACAAATGCTTGAAAGACAATCCAAAGTTCCAAACTCTGAGCTCCAAAAACAAAAAAGAACACAGAAAAACGTTATGGGTGAATTTTTCTGAGGGCCGCCGCAGTATATGCAGAGTCCTTTGTAAGGAGAATTAAGCTGAAGTTGTATATAAAAAAATTAATTATTATAAAATTTATTAATAATTTTGTCAAGGACTTAATTTAATTATTAATGGATCTTTTAGTAATTAATTTTTTTTTGTGTGAAACTGTTTGTAATTTTTTTTTTTCTTTTGTTGTCTTGTAACTTGTCTCAAAGTGGAGATTAATATTCTAGTGAGTTAAATCAAAGGGGAAATCAAAAATTTACGTACCTTTGGCCATGTCACTGCAGAAAATGACTACTTTAAATCTTTAATTGATTGATAAAGAAATTTTCAGAAAAAAAAGGCATTTTTTTATTCTGTTTTAATCAAAGATACCATCAAAGTAGACATTTTCCAACGTACAATAGTTAATGAGGACAAATATATTATTTCACCAAAAATTAAAATACCAAACAAATTTTTAGGGGCTAAATAATAAAGAAGCTTTTGCAAATATAACTTATATTATAGGATCAAATTAAGTAAATAATGTAATATTTATTATATTTTATATTATGTCTTATTTATTATATTTGCTAATAATATATCATTGTATTCAATGATAAACCTTTTATAAATTTTTAAATTCTCAATGATAAACATATCAATGTGAACTAACCATATTTTTAAATTTTTAAAAATTTAATTTATATTTTATGGGTACAAGATTTTTATTTTTTTTTTGTCCAAATCATCCAATAATAATTAGAGAAATGGCAGTAAAAGCCTCTAGAAGAGAAAGAAAATAGGACCCAGTACATTTGAAAGTTTAACTATACACAACTAAAGGTTTATTGATTCACTTATGCATAGATAAATATTCAATTGCATAGAGCTCTTATTACCATTCTCCCCAGTAATTATCACATTTTATGATACTTAATTATCATTTATATATTCCGGGATATGTTTGGATCATTTTCCCGTTAATATAGCAAATACGATAAATGGCAATTATTCTCTGATTAGATTAGATTTCCATTTGTTGGTTTGAAAAGTACGGCTGCTCAATTAACCTTCTTTCCATTATTTGCCATTGAAACTCCCAACAAATCATATGGATAGATTGAATGGATTAAACTCAATTTTCTATCAGCAAGGTTAAAAGTTTAAATTTTATAAATAGAAAAAATTATGGATAAGTATATTACTAACTGTGTACGAAAACATTCAATTAGATTGAATGGTTTAAACCCAACTTTTCCAATTTTTTTAGTATTATAAGGATATTATATTTTTTTAATTCTGCATGCTTTAAATATCACCGTTAAATTAGAGAAAACGGCTGTTATTTTTGTTGGTGTGAAACCCGTCGTATACTAACGTGACACTCATCTTAACCCTTAAAAGTAATGGCTATTTTCTTTAACTTAATGGTAAAAATTCATGCGCTCAAAATTTAAAAGTTGACATGAGTTTTTACATATTTTAAAAGTTTAGAGTTCAAGATTTATTTATGAAATACTTTAGAGTTTAAGATGCCTATTAACTTTTTTTAATTCTTTGATGTACTTTTTTTAATTCTTTGATGTCCTATGGAAGGAAATGATAATGAATGTATAAAAATATAAAACACTTTCTTATATCTAATAATGATTGTCAATTGAACTTAATTTACTATTTTTTTAAAAAAATGTACATTTAGTTTTCTAACTTTGTACTAGATTATAATTTAATCTTTTAATTTTATAAAATATCATTTTAATCTTTAACCTTGGTGCTTTTAGTTTTAAACAATGATTTTTTTTGTTGATTATTATTATTTTTAAAAAATTAAAATTAATATATTAATACTTTATAATATATTTTTTAACATGTAAAATTTTGATATTAATATTTTTTTTATTAATGAAACTAACAATATTAGAATTAAACAACAATTTATAAAATTAAAAAGTTAAAATAAAATTTTGTACAAAGTTAATGAATTTAATATACTCTTTCAGTTCAAAAATGTAAGGCATTTTTTGAGAATTGAATGTTTAAAAATATAAAATATTTTTTAGTCTTTTAAAATGTAATTATTGCTTTTTTTAAAAATATCTCTATTGATAATAATTTTATGTTTATTGGATAGTATTTAATAAGAATAAATATAAAAAAATTAAATTAAATAAAAATAAATAATTATTTTATTAAAGATAAAATTTGATTAAAAATATTTATATTTTTAAATTAATGGGGTATATCTCTTTTTTTTTTTTTTTCCTAAACTCTTTAGAGGGGTCGCCGCTATTATTGTCACCGTCAACGTCATCACCACCAACAACAGTAGTAAGTGTTCCCCACTAAAAAAATCACAGTCTCAAATTAATCTTCATTCTTCTTCACATTACCACCACCTATTTCTAATTAAGGCACATCAACTCTAACTTTTATGTTCATAGTTTTATTAAGATATTTTTCTTTTTATTTCTTTTCAGTTATAAATATTAAATTAATTTTTATTTTCGATCCTTTATACTTCTGGTGTACTATACTTTAACTTTTCTTTTCTTTTTTAATATATAGACCCATTTTAGCAAAAAAAAAATATCAATTAATTCAACATTCAATATTTATTGTTAAAATGGGAATTCCTAGTGTTAGAAAAGGAAGCGTTTTTTTTTTTGAGGGGGAAGCTTTTTTTTTTTTTGTATTTTGCCATGCAGCTAGGGAAAAAATTATTCTCATACTCTTCTAGAGGTAAAAATCAGGTCGACCCAACCCTTAAGGACTTAGATTCTGAAGTTTGATTATTCAAAATTTAACTTAATTTTGAGGCCAGTCCTTGTTTATAGAGCTAAGAGCCAAGCCCTTAAGCCATCTTTTTCAAAAATCTAACATTTTAATTTAAATAAAATATTTTAAAATTTAACAAAAAAATAACTTAAAGTCTCACATAAAATTGGACAAAGATTTAAAATTTAATATTTATAAATGTAAATCTAAATCCTCCTTATCATCATCTAAAAATAAAATATTTGATCCCTCATATGTACGTCCACTTGTTGAAAATAGATGTGGAGCTTTAATGTCAATTATATGTACAACTTTTTCTTCATCATCCATAATAAGTATTAACTAAATTGTGTCATTATTAGTCAAAATATATGTATGTATGTATATAATATAACCTAGCTTATCAGGGTTTAAAGTGCTGTCCCGGCTTGAGTTCTTTTTCATATGGTTTATCAAGACCAAGCCCTCAAACCCTATTACTTTAAAAAAAATTAATTTTTAAAGTCTGAACCTGTATTTAAATAAGACCTCCAAACCTGTCCTTTATTCTCAACTCTAGTTGAATACATAAGGATTTTAATCATTTCACTAAACAATAGTAAGTAATAACACCATCAAACTTTCCTTAATATTTAATTCTTTACTTCTTTGTTTCTCCTTGTTTCCTCATATCTTTGCTTGGTTTGAGATAAATAGAGGAGAGGGAATTTTTAATGAGTTAGATTAAAAAAAATAGAAAAATTGAGTTAAACGTTTTCAAATAATTTTCTTACTTTTTTCTTTGTCTTTTAATTAAAATTTTATAATGTCGTTTATTCATTTTTTTTAAGAAAATTGAACTCATTAATGAAAAGGAAAAGTAAAAGAAGTAATGATGAAAAGGTTAGTCATGAGTTTGAGACTTTAACCAAAGTAATGAGATACCTATAGAGAAGATAGTAAAGTTAAAGGGTAAAAATTAAAGTGGGTTGACTTTTAAAGGTTCAGGTCCTGAAATATCATTATTTAAAATTTAATTTGATTTTGAGATCCAGCCCTTGTTGATAAGGTTCAGGGTTGAGTCCTTAAACCTTCTTTTTTAAAAAATATAATATTTTAATTTGAATAAAATATTTTAAAATTCAACATAAAATAAATTAAAGTCTTACATAAAATTTGACAAAGATTTAAAATTTAAAATTTAATCTTTATCAATGTAAATCTAAATCCTCCTTATCATTATCTAAAAATAAAATATTAGATCCCTCATATGTACATCCACTTATTGAAAATAAAGGTGAAGATTTAATATCAATTATCTCTACAATTTTTTCTTCATCATCTACAATAAATATCTAACCAAATTGTGTCATTATTAGTTAAAATATATGCATGTATGTGTATATATAATATAACCTAACTTATCAGGATTTAAAAGGCCACTCAAATTCTTTTTCACAGGGCTTATCAAAGCCAAGCCCTTAACACTATTACTTTTTTAAAAAATTAATATATAAAGTCTGAACCCTTATTTAAATAGGACCTTCAGGCTCGGCCCTTATTCTCAGCTCTATACTATACACAGGTAATCTAAATATAAAATTTTACAAAATCATAAAATAATTGTAAAATCTCTTTTTTTTATTAAAATTTTCAATTTACTATATTAAAGTTATCAATTACTATCAGACAATTGTTAATGGGGTAATTTAATTGACAACTAAAAATAATAATTATTTTAAATAAACTAAACAAAAATTATTTATAACTATCTAGCCGTAATATACAATTTTAATAACATAAATCAAATTTCAGAATAATTTTGTGATTTTATGATAATTTTTTATATTTAGATTAGTTATATAAAACCTAAAAATAATTTTTGATATATATTAGCTTGGCGATCGTTAGGATAGTCTTTTCCTAACTCATCTTAGTTCTTTCAATTTTTTGAATCCTTGGTTGAATTCTGAAATCTTAAAAATCACCATGATGCTTAAATGAGATTAAAAGAAATCTTGGGTTCCTTGTTGTCCTTTTCGCGAATACATTTTCTTCTTCTGGCCAATGACGTGGGACCACCAAATAGCTTACGTGTCTAATCCGTTTAGCGGATTTGTTACACCTGTAAGTTTCCAGCCAATCATGCCACTTTTTGCGCAGAGACACACTTCTCGAGGTTCATGCACTGGGTCCTACCTTTTATTCCATTTCGACGGCGAGAAACCTCGCGTTTCATGCGACAATCACATTCGTCACCTCTCGCCTCAGACTCGCTGACGTGGCAACCCTCGTACTTTCTTTTCCCGACACGTGTCTTGCCACGTGGCACTCGCCCATTCCTCTAGAGAGAGAGGGGGCTGGCTTTGTCCGTCTTTGAAGCGCCCGCCATGGCCACAATACTTCTCGAGAAAGTTCTTTATATCAGTGAGTTGCTTCATCCTTGTCCTCGTCGTTATCCAACTTTCTAGTTTTCTACGTTCTTCTCGCTTTGTGACTTCCTGTATTCCAGCGCACCTTCATGGTTCAGTTCATGATATCGAACACCAACTCCCTCGCAATGCTCAAGTTGGAGCTTCACGATTCTGAGGAAGAAGAACTTGGCTCCCTTCCGAAGCGACCCAAATTAGATTCTTCTCCCGAGGTTTGAATTCTCCTCACTTTGATTTTCGATTATATCTAATTTTCAACCTAAAATTGAAGTTTTAGTGCCTAACATCGTCAGGTTGTTATTATCTGAAAGATTTTTAAGTCGGTTTACACTGGTTGAATTGTGACTTGATTCCTCTTCATTTTTTCTTCATCGTTTTCCGACAGTGGAATTCCATCGATGACTTCGTTCCGGCTCAGCCAACTTGCAATTCGCTCAACCAGCCAAGCCCGCTCGGTTTGCGTCTCCGGAAGAGCCCGTCGCTTTTGGATTTGATTCAAATGAGACTCTCCAAAGAAGATAATTCCAGAATAGCTAATGTAATCAAGGAAGATCGCAAGGGTACTAAAGCTACAGGAGCTTTGGATGGTAAGCTCAAGGCGTCGAACTTTCCTGCATCCATTTTAAGAATTGGGACCTGGGAGGTAGGGTGGAAACTTCCAGAAACAACCAAAGCATAATCAGTATATATAGAATCTTACTCTTTCAGTTAAAAAGTTAACACTATTACGTGGTTATTATATGGCTTGCAGTATAAGTCAAGATATGAAGGAGATCTGGTGGCAAAATGTTACTATGCGAAGCACAAGCTCGTATGGGAAGTTCTTGATGGTGGTCTCAAGAGTAAGATTGAAATTCCTTGGTCTGATATCATGGCTCTTAATGCTAACTACCCTGAAAATGGACTTGGAACGCTGGAAGTAGTGGTAAAGTCTTCTTGCTATCTTCTTGATATTTCAGCAGTATTATTAAATTGCCCTTTTACTTAGTTGGTTTCCTGACTGTTGTAGCTGGCTAGAAGACCCCTATTTTTTAGGGAGATCAATCCACAACCTAGGAAGCATACCTTGTGGCAGACAGCATCAGACTTTACTGGTGGACAAGCTAGCATGCATAGGTACTAACCGCACTCATCATCTATTGGTATCTAGGAGGTTTACTGATTACTCTAAAAATTTCGGTCTATGAAGTATTCTGTAATAGGGTTCGTGATATCCCTGTCTTGTTAACTTTGGCTTCTGACTCCCTGACTTTATATGATTAAGGAGTTTGCTATATCCAGATGAACTGGCATAGTCCCCATGATAGACCTGTAAAGGAAAAGCACACACGGAAATGAAGATTAATCTTCTGAAATCAACTACTGATTTTCATGAATACAACTGGACAAGAACGTCTTTAATCTATGTTTTCCCTCTCTCATTATGGTTGTCTTAGCTCTATGGAATTATGTTATGACAAGATGAGCCAATAGTTGATTTACGGTGGTTCTAATCACCAGTGTCAGTATAATTTTCAAGTGAAATTTCTCCCTGAAGTTCTGTTTTTTTACAGAGTTACATGTAACATAACCTTTTTCATAGCTTCCATGTAACATTACCCTTTTTTGAAAGGCAGCTCCTTTAGTTTCACCTCTAGTATCATTGCTATATCTCGTACAACAATTGTTGGAATAATTCATACTCATGCACTATCATTATTGTTGCAGGAAACATTTTTTGCAATGCCCTCAAGGATTCTTAGGCAAGTATTTTGAGAAGCTCATCCAGTGTGATCATCGCCTCAACTTTTTAAGTCAGCAGCCAAATGTGGTGCTGGGTTGTCCATATTTTGAACCCAGAACTGGCGATGGTTTTGATAGAAAAAGTGAAGAGCAGGCTGGTTTCTTTGGCTTGCAGAATTTAGAACCAGCACCTGCGGTTAATTCATCTTCCTCAATGTATGAACACAATCTTCTGGGTATAGCTGTTGAGAACAATTCCTGGGACACTTCACCTAGCTCAGGTAGGGTGATAATCTTGGTTTGAAGTTTAATAGTTGCTACTCACTCACTATTGTGGAAATCCGAGGAAATTACTTCATTATTTAGATTACATCATTGGAATGATCAAGATGATTCTGTTGCTTTTACTAGGGCAAATTGTTAGTAAAATGAAGGGATAGATGAAGTAAAATGACGACTGAACCTCAAGCCTATTCATAGGTGATCTGATTACTGATCTGTGAAGTTTAGTTCACAATCGTACTTCATATCTTTAGGAGTAAAACAAGGAGATGAAATGGTAAAGCTTCAACACATCCTTAATGATATTGAAACAATTAAGTACTATTCACTTTTCTATGAATTATGTTTACATAGTCCCTCGTGCAACTCCATTCTGGTTGATTTATTTCATTTGCAGTTAAGGACACCCATGAAACCAAGGGGTTCTGGAGTAGAGAGGCTAACAAGCCAAGATTTCCTAGCAATTGGAATCGAATAAAATTGCCTGGACTTCAACCATCTATGTCCATGACAGAACTAGTAAGCCAGATTGAACATCACATTTCACAACAGATGACGTCTAATAACTACTCCACCTTTGAGAACCAGAATAGAAGATCAGTTTTCATGTAAACTCTAAATTGTGTTCAGTGACTCTCAACTTACTGAGTCCCCTGACGAACAGTTCCTCATGTCAAGATGATCCTTCAACAACACAAGACCAATTACCGAACGATAAGGGTCTTGATGCACATAGTGGTGAGGAAAGTAGTTGATATGAATTCGTCTCACCAACCACAAGTTGTCTGCAAAGTGATACTTGTGTCAGTAAGGATGGAAATGGCTTTCCCAGGAAAGAATCAGTTGGGGAGCTTCTCAATCTTCAGAGGATAGCACCTCTGCCCCAGTTTTTGCTTCACATCTCAGAAGACTTTGGTAACCAAGTTAGATTGTGATGGATGATCCACCAACGCAAAGCTTACAAGCATCGCAAAACCCATTTAAGAAGATTCAAGGCAGGCACAGGAATGACCTTTAATGAAGTTAATTCAAGCAATAAGTAAAAAGGGGGTGGAAAATGGTGAATTCACTTATGTAGAATTCTTAAAGAAGTGGGGTCTAAATTCTGTGTATTTTCTATTTTCAATTCAGGTGTAAGTTTGGAAATCTGTAAAAATTCGTGATAGGAAGGGTGGAAAACAGGAGAGCATGGAGTTAAATTCTCTGTTTCAAATAATTAATTCACACATAGAAGGGTGGAAAACAGGAAGAGCATGGAGTTTAAATTCTCTGTTTCCAATATTAATAATACACACGTATATAGTGTAAATTCGAATCTATGCAATTGTTACTTGCCTTTTTTCTTTTATCTTTTCTAGTATTTGAAATAAATTTCAAGTCCTCAGGGTTCTTCCATTTATCCCATAGAGGAATAAGAAAAAGATTAATTAAAGGATTAAATGTCTAGAGAGGTAGCCTTTCGTGGTTAGAAACAGAAAACAGGGAACAACAAGAATTGACTGGTAATCATTAGTTTTTATGTCACCAAGATTCTGGTCATTTTTCAAGAATTTAATCTTTCCGTGTCGTCTGAAATAATCCTGTACAGAGACCGAGGGAAGTTAGAATTTTTTCAATTTACTCTTGTTTACTTTTCGGGCCAGACAATTTTACTCTTATTAATGTGTCATCTTCAAAAGTAATTTATCGCTTGTATAGTTGTATGCAATGTTTTTATTCTTACTTTTATTGAAAATTGTGAAAGAATAAAATTAATAATAATTAATGATCCCTTTTTTTTTTTTTGCAAAGTACATGTAAGAACGAACGAGTGAAAAAGTTATAAATTTAAGGCATTTATTTTTAATTAAATTAAGACATGTCTATTATTTATAGATTATTTATTATATACAATAATTTTTTATTATTAATATATTAAAATTCTCTTGTTTTGATTTGTTTGGATACAAATATATTAAATATAAAAGGTTAAGTATCTAAATATTACTTTAAAAATAATTACTTATTTTTTTAAGTGACGAGAGTATATCAATTAATTTTGAAAACTTTGTCCTTTTTTAAATGATATCTAATGAAGATATTCTTTTTTTCACCATAGTTAATCACGATAATTGATTGTCAAAATTTAGAATATAAAATTTCCATGATAAAATTACACTCTTTCTGTTAAAAAATATAAAATATTTTTTGAAGAGTTGGATGTTAAAAAATGTAATGCATTTTTAGTCTTTTGAGGTATAATCATTGTCTTTTTTCAAAAGTGTTCTTATTGATAATGATTTTATATTTATTGAAGGGTATTTGATAGAAGTAAATATAAAAAGATATAGTTAGTTAAAAAGTAAGTAATTATTTTATTGAGAAATGAAATTCAGTTAAAATGCCTTACATTTTTGAATGAAGAGAGTACATTTTATACTGATATTCAATTAGATATAGCTTATATATTCACTCAAGATTGTTAAAAGATGGAATCTGCTCTGTCATCGGCTAGTGTATATTTAAGTATATCAATTTGGATAAAAAAAAAATATGTTTTCACAAGAAAGAAAAAAAAAATGTAAGATAAAGTTTCTATATAAAAAATGTAAGATAAAATTGTTATCTATCTAGTGATGATAATCGGGTGGGTCCATGTAAACAACAATGCTAAGTGTTCGTTTGAATTTTAATTTAATATAATAAATTATAAAAATAATTGATTAAATGGTAACTTTTAATTATAATCACAATTGTCAAACTCTTGAGTTGACTTTACAAATTTAATATTTTTATATTTTTAACTTATAAAATTGTGTCAACTTACTCATAAATTCAAACTATATATAAACTCAATTAAACTCGTGAGTTTACCCTCAAGTTTATCATTTTTATGTTTTTAACTTACAAAATCATGTCAACTAATTTATAAACTCAGATTAGTTGCAAATTTGGTTAAACTTATTAAGCTCGTCAAAAAATTTTTTTTTTAGTTGAGCGAGTTAACTATATATTATGAAGAATTTTAGTTCATAAAATTTATAAAACCTGATTCAAAGAAAACAAAAACTTAAATACAAAAACTAATATTAATAAAAAAAGAAAACAAAAAAAAAACAATGCCAAAAATAGATTCCCCTATTTTAAAACTTTTATGTCATGTATAATTTATAAATATAAATGAATTAATTTCAATAATTTATATTTTAACATATTTAAATTAAATTACAATCATAATTTTAATTGTTATTTATTAATAGAGGTAAACTCTTATGAATTTATGATTCGAATTTGTGATACGAATTTACATTCTTGTCACGAGTTTATTTAAATCGTGAGTTTAACAACCTTGATCATAATTGATTATATTATAATACAATCTGTTTGAATATAATTTTTCTAAAATTAATTTTAATAAAATTAAGATGTTTGAATAATTTATTCAGAATCAATTTTTTGTTATGTAAGTTATCATAAAAAACATTGCCTTTCAAAATTAAATTATTGATAAATTTTGTACCTAATATTATTAAAGTTGTTACATTTTTATTTAAGAAGTAAAATGAATTATTTAAATTACATATCTAATTAATTAAAAATTTTTAATTATATTAATATTAACATTTAAATTTACATAAATAATTAACTCAATATATCCTAATTAAAATAAATTTAATAAAAGAGAAAGATTTAATTCTTTAATACCAAACATCAATTTTACAGTAACTAATGAAGATGATAATATATAAATTGATCTTCAATGACATCATAAATATGAGTTATATCTAATGAAGATTTAAGCACTTTTTTAAAATTTTAGCAACATAAAAAATGTAGCAATGTAATAAATGATGCAAAATCTCTCTTTGAACTTTTGCAACAATGTTTGTAATGATTCTAAATTTTAAATTATATTAAATTAATTTTTCTCTATCAAATAATATTTTATTTAAATCTATAGCCCAGATTTTTTATCTATTTCATTTTATTTTTTTATTATTAACATTAATCATTGTAAACTATTAACATTCAAGAGGTTATTTTTATACTTTATTCTGCACATTCAAAATTAAAATGATTTTAGAATATAAAAATACATATAAATTAAAATCTAGATCATATAAATTTGATTAGGGTAATTAAAATGTGCTAGTAAAATAATAATACCAGCTGATGTTTTACCGATGTAGAGAACTTATTTAACATAGAGTTGTAGTTTTTTTTTTTTTTAAAATTGCTCTAAGTATCTTCTCAATAGAAACAATCATGTTCCACACATGGTTGAGTATTAAATGTGAACACATCTCTCAATGAAAATTAAGACCTTAATTTGTCACATTATAAAAAGACTAATTCCTCCGCCAAAACCAACCCTCAACCCTAGTTGGCAGTAGTCATAACATGAAGGAAAATAATATGAGGAAAATATCCCGTGAGATGCAAAGTCGATTTCTTGGCTAAAATGACTCTGGGTTAAGGCAGTGATTTTACTATACCAATTGATACCCCACATGGTTTTGGAAGCCTAATTCTGATTGACAAAAATGGGGTTAATCCTCATATGAACTAGACTCTGTTGCCTGTATTCCTTTTGGTCTCTGGCCTAGACTAAAGTGACTGAGCGAAATTAGATTCCTACCAGGCCTTTGTAGTTTGTAGACCTTTACTAAAAGTCAGTTTGCTAAGGATTAAAAATTAATTTTAGTTAAGTTAAATATGAAAAAATGCTTTTGAAGGTATGAGAAAGTTGAGAAAATTTAGCTAAACACACAAGGGATGTATTAAAGAAAACTTATTTTTAACATGCTATTTAGAATAGCTTTATAAAAAAAAAAAAGGCTAAAACTAGATTTAAAAAAAAATAAAACAAACAAGCAAAACAAAACCTTCATGATCAGCTTAGTTTCTCCAAATAACTCAAGGGTTGAGCTAAACCAAAATAACACTTTACAAAAAGATTTAAAAAACAAAAAACAAAACAAAACCTTCATGATTAGCTTAATGTTCTCCAAATAACTCAAGGGTTGAGCTAAACCAAAATAACACTTTACAAAAAGATTTAAAAAACAAAAAACAAAACAAAACCTTCATGATTAGCTTAATGTTCTCCAAATAACTCAAGGGTTGAGCTAAACCAAATAACACTTTTCTTTAATTTTTAAAACACATTGACCCTAAATCTATTAAAAAAATTAATTTTCAATTAAAAAAAAATTAGATTGCTCACATCGATTAAAATGTAGAGGAGGAAACAACCAAAGTTCCTGATTCAAATAAAGACTAAACTGAGGTTTTATTTTTTATTTCTTAGGATTGAGGCACTCATTGTATTTGCCTCACCAGTTTACACTTCCTATAAACATATGCCAGTTACAATAAACAACCTCTTAGAGGACTTGACTTTTATCTATTCTACTCCAATTTCTCTATCACTATGTTTTTCCTTCTATACCTGTTTGAAGAAAGATTCTGTGAGAAGAAACAAAAAGAGACTGGATATTCCTACTCGCCAATGGCACAAGGAATGCAAGAGGGATCATTTGATTGGTCTTCAGGAGTCATTCTCTCCAAGCACTCTCTGTGAAAGGTGTGGCCGCATGGTAGAACGGCAGAATCCGGCGGAGGAGATGGCTGCGAAATGGGTCCTTCTGGTGCGAATGACAGATCCCTCTTGCACAAGCAGCAGTTGAATCCAATTAGCTCGGGAGCTTCATTTGCATCTGCTTATAATTTCCTCAGCATTAGAAATTAGCGTTCTATACATATTAGGATATTTAATTATGGAAAGTACACTTCAACTGGACCAGGGTAGGATGTCAACAGGAAAAAAGAATTATCACGCAAAAATGGTGGTAGGGTTGAATGAAAGACATTTGATTCTCCTTAGACAGAGTCAAGAGTTCAAACATTATAATGGAGGTGAGCTATCCCATCATAGCCTGACAATGCTCGAATTTGATCTAGTCATATTAAATATCATATAGTTATGTTATAAGAAAATTAAAAAAAAATATCAGGTCTCAACATGAGTTATGGTTCAATTTTTGGCTAAATTTAGAAGATCTGTTTGTTGCTTTTACAGTGGACAGCAACGTTATTTGTATGAAAAATGTCATATTTTCATGCCATAGCCCTACAAATGGTTCACCCATTATTTTTTCTTTTTTCCTTTTTGGCCAATCATCCATTATTTTTTTCAAGAACAAAGAATATAGCATTAAGAACAATCAGTAAGGGCCTTTCATGAATGAAACAATCACATTACAAGGATGCATGTATCAACATTCCCCTTTTACTATTTTGTTATAAGTTAGTTTCGACATCTGTTTAACTGGATTGGCAAGGTAAATGATGCAGTTCAGTCTAGACTATGAATCGAACCAAAAAAATACATTTTTTTTTAAACAACTATGTCAGAACTTAAAAGGAAATCTAAAGTACAAGGGAATTAACCTTTTGATTTATCAAAACTCATGCTGTAAGAAGAAATAAAGAAAGCAATACCTTTGAGTTTGATATAAGAAGGTGGAAGTGGAACAGCCTTAGGTGTAGATGGCATGATTGGGGGAGGCCTCCAATGTGGGGAAGGCAGAGACCGCGTCATTTTTGGCTGGTATGGGTGGGATTTTATCTGGGACCCAGGATGGATAGACGGTATTCTCCTGTTATGATGCGGAGGTAATACAGTACCACAAGCTTCGGGTGGGAGAGATGGAGTTGCACGGACTAAGGGAGTAATTGTCTGGGATATGCTTGGGGTGATAAAGCAGTTTTGGCCCAAGGAGAAATGGATGGATGAACAGTAGAGCCAATGGCTTGAGGTAGGAGAGGTATGCCTTTGTGGGCTGAGCGAAAGATTGTTTGTGATGTATTAGGCATTAAAGGAGCCGATCCAATCCAGTTCGGGACAGATGGATGAATGTATGGATGATTCACTAGAGTCTTCCTCTGACGAGCCTGGGAGAGGGATGATTGTGGTTCAGAAGCGCCTCTCTTAAGAGAGGATCTAACAGATGGCCTAGAAGCTTGACCAATCATATTTCTCATTCCAGTATGCATTCCTAGATCTGAAAAATTTACAGCTCATTTATGTCACTACATAAAACTAAATATGTTTTCCACAGTACTTGATATGTTTAAGATACTCAGGAGAGGTAAGAACAGATCCAAGAGAGGTTTTAGACTCCCGTATTAAACGAACCATCTGAGATTAACTTTGATTACGTGCTAGTAACCAAGAAATCCCACCTTGATCATTTAATAATACCAGGATCGCACTTTTTATATAAATAAAAGAAGTATGCCTCAGTGTATGAAACAAAATGCTCCTTTCAACAAAGATTTTCATATCAACATTTTTGACTGAGCCAGGCTTGTCATTGATAGATTAAACTTGTTCTCTTGAATTTGATCCATAAAAATAAATAACAAAGTTTGGATTAATTCAAAGTATATTCTCAAGAACACAAAAATTGAAGTAGCACAAGTCAAAAGCCAAATTCAATTTAGAAACACAGAAACTAATGAAAATGATAAAATAAGTGCCTGCTTGGATGAGAAAACGAAAAGAGGTGAATTATAAAGGGATGCAACTTGCGAGATTCATCAATGCCTGCAATAGAAAACATGGAATCAAGTATCACAGCACTTACTTGAAGGATCCATCCCACTAGTTCTTCCAGCGCCCATACCTAATGGATAAGTAGAAGACTGTAATGAGAACGTCCCATTTGAGTTTACTTTAAATTCTGGTAGTTGCCCGGACAGGAGCTGATTACTTAGCATTCCAGGTGAAGAGAAAACCGCACGTTCACTAGCTCTGCTCTGTTTAATGTTACACCGCATCATTTGATTAATGTCTAATGGTAACGATGGCCCTCGAAAATCATACGATGGCCCTAATCTTAAACCAGGTCTAAGATTGTGATTATCAATAGAGTGCACCGAGGCATCTGCATTCTGTGGTAAATTATACATGACTTCATCATTGTTCTGAGAACCAGAAATGGCACCATTCATGCCAAAATCAGGATATTGGTATCTTCTGCTATCCATTTTAGAGTGATGAGCACTAATTGGAGGAACAAATTCCCTTTTTGATTCACCAGCAAGATTGATTCCAAAGAGTTTAGTATTAATTTCCGGATTAGTGTTGCTTCCAGAATGGGAAGTCAAATGTCTTTCCTCAAGCATTTCAGGAGAATTCAATGAAACTGCACCTTGATTACGGCTAAACATAGGCATTCCAAAATTCAAACCAGGGGAAGGCTGACCAATGTTACCATCCATTGATTTTGGAATAGGCTTGAACACTTGTGGTCTTCCATCTGAACTATTATCATCAATTGCAGCTCTTCTACGACTGTCAAGCTTCTCAGAACTATTTAGATTGAAGGGAGCATGTTGATATGAAAATCCTGAATTTGGTCTGTGCAAAAGAGATTGAAGATCTCTTTCACGTAAGTAATGACTAGCATGAAAATTGTTAGGGTTATTGATCCGGGATGAATTAACCATTAAGTTCCCTCCATTTGGTGCTATTTCCCTGTTATGAGACCAAGATCTTCCAGGCACACTATCATTATGTTGAAAGTCACTAGCAACCCCATCAATGGAAGCAGAATCATTAGTCAATAAATTACACCCTTGTTCTTCACTCCTTTGTGGCGGAGAAGTAGAAGCATGCAGCTTGTCCTCACTATTCAAATTGTCAATTGCCATTACTAGGCAATGCAGCTTCGAAAGGAAGACACATCACAAAGACAAAAGGCATCAATATTTGATAGTTAACCATTCGAACGAAACTCAAACCAGTTGACGGAAAGGAAAAGTTGAAGTGTCGTAAAGATATTGAAACAACACAGAAAAAGTTTAAACTATTCACATCTCTATTAAGTCCGTCATACACGGCAATGTAAGTTGCGAGCTTCAAAAATCAGCAAACGTACTTATGTTCTATGTTACCAGCATATAGAAAAATCATCTAGTTATTATGAAACATTTTGTTATAAACCCATGAAAGTCTTGATGTATGTTTCCAACTTTGTATGAACCCCACTATATAGGTTATTGCAATCAAGGACGACTGAAAGCAGAGAAAGAAACTGGAGAGATATAAGCATCACTTTACCATTATAAAATTAATGCCTGAGATCTTGCAAGAAAGAACAAACACAAGGAAACAACTTTATGCCCTGTCTAATTTCTATGCATTAGAGTAGAAAAAAGTTCAAAACCCAGAAATTGAAGAAAGCGAACGATGGTAATGTGCGCAGGTGCGCGCATTATTAAAAAGAAAGAAGGAAAAGTGGTCCTGACCAAACAAAAAATCTGAAACTCAAGAAATATCCGATCTAGAAGATTCAGAAGAAAGCAAAAAACCCTCAAAAGATAAGGGAAGAAATTCAAGAATGCAAAGAAGTTGACTTAGAAATGAAACAAAGTGAAACTAAAAACACAGAAATGCAAGACTGTGTAGTAGGTATTGACGCGAAAAAATCGGAAGACTTGAATAATCCGAGAAACCCAACAAGGATGGTACTCGCATTGAAATTGAAGGGAATCTACGGTCAAGAAAAACAGTGAGAAAGGAGTAAATAAACGCAATGAAATCGAAGACACTAGAAGGAAGACAGTTATGTTATTGTTACCTGATGCTACTCGCAGCAGAAAATCCAGCTAGCGAGGAAGAAGAGAGCGAATGCAATACATTTGGGGCTTTTGGATGCCATAAATGGTTCGCTGTGGGGTCTACTGGCTTCACATATCGCGCCACGTTTTATAGTGCGTGTAACGCTTTTGAAGATGAGCTCCTACTCCTAATGATGTGGCAATATACGCCTTTTTTTTTTTTATTTTTTTGGGCCGAGCGGCAATATGTGCGTTGATATATAGAGTATATATTCCACATCAAAAAACTAATTAAATATAAATTATTAAAAAACACACAATAAATAATTCATGAAAAATGTTATACACTCCCACCATTATCATTTTATTTTCTTTTGATATTAAAATTTAAAATTATTTTTTACTATTCATAAAAAGGAATTTCTTCATATATTTATTATCATAAATTCCAAAATAAAAAATTAATTATGTATAAATTATAAAAAAAAACATATTAAATTATTCATGAAAAATGTAATTATTATGAATTCAAATTGAGTCAAATTGTTAATGATTTATCATTTATGAACAGTATAATTTCATTTAATTTTATATTTTATATGGGTAAGGTATACTTTTGATCATCTAGCTTTATATAAGATTTTTAATTTGGTCCATTAATTTTATAAAATAATTTTTAATTTTTTATTTCTAATACCATTAGTTTTAAATGATTATTTTTCATGCTAATCATATTTATTTTTATTTGACCCATTGCACCTAATTTATAGATGGTAAAAACATGTTATACATTTTGTTTGATATTAATTCCAATATTGACAAGCATTATTAAAAAAATCAATAAAATCTGTAAGTGCGTGTCTCTGTGTGTGTATTATAAAGTCTGTAAATATATTGTTAAGCAAAGCCCACATGTTCGAGCCCAAACAAACCCCACAAGCTTTGGGAAATGAGGTAAATAAATAAATTATATGTGCTTCCTTCATTTAAAAATATAAAAAAAAAAATTTAATTTTATCTTTCAATAAAATAGTTTTTTATTTTTAAATTAATACTATATTTTTATATTTATTTCTATTTAATAAGATGTTTCACCAAATTTTTTATATTTTTTTAATATTTAATCCTTTAAAAAAAACATATATTTATTGAATAGGGAGATTATAAATTACTAAAAGATGCAAAGTATGATAATTGAAACTCAAAAAACGTAAAGTAGAGATTTTTTTTATTGCTTCATTATATATATGTATCGATTTATTTATTTTAACATTAATTTTTATAAATTATTTCAGTAATTTAATTAAATATTTGGGAAGGCTATGATTTTTGTAGCTTGTGAATTATATGACTTGATTTTCTGTGGCCAAAAAATAGAATTATATGACTTGATATATATTTTACAATTTACATTTTATATTGATAAATTGGTTAGAATTGTGCATCATTACATTTTAGGGTCTAAGGATGAGTGGGGATGGAAAAATAGGAAATTTTTATTTGATGATGACTTTAATTTATTTTGCATTTGGCTTCAATATTTTATGCTTTCTTTTACTCTTTTTTTTTTTCGTCAAAATGCTTTCTTGTACTTGAAATTTACTTCTCTTTTACTTTTATTTTGATTTAGGGTTTATTTTAGTTGACCTATGAAGTTATTTTTATTGTAGAAAATTTTATAAATTGTTATTGGGATTAAATAGCGTGAGCTTTGTAAATTATGTTATCCTCTTCCACCTCCTTTTCTTCTTTTCCATCCTCTTTTTCTTGCCCTCTGTCAGTTTTATTAATTTCAAATATTAATAATATTTATTTAAGTTATGAAACTAAGAAGAATATAAAAAATTGATATAATAGAAATGAACAAGATAATAAGAATTAGAAGAGAAAAATAGAGGGTAATTCTCATCCGCTTCAAGTTTACAATCACTTGATACATGCATACTATTTGTAGGCAATAAATCTTTAAATTTTATCACAAAAGTTACATATAAATCTACACAATGGTAGGATATATAACATTTGGATGTTATATGTATTAATAAAGTAAAACTTTCTTGAGGCTATTCATGTTTTAGATTTTTCAAGTTTTAATTGGAAAATGTCAAAGGATAGTTATTGAAAGGTTATGGATATCCATAGACCATATTATATTATAATATTTATAACACTCTTCTTGGATATCCATAAACAAATATCATGACTCATTAAAACTTTACTAAGAAATAATCCAATGAAACCAAAAAACTTAGTTAAGAAAAAACAGTATACAATATATAATGAAGCTACCTTATTAAAACTTTGCCAAGAAAAAAATGGGATAAAACCTTGGTTAATGAAAATATGAACTTTACTCCCCCCCAATGCCAATTTCAATTTAACCCTCCCCATGTTAAAAACATCACTTCTTGTTATTGTATTTCAATAAAAAAATACTAATTTCTTAAATGTGGTTATTATCAAGACTTTTTAAAGTAAATCTTCTTTTTTGCCAAATTATGCATTATGTATTCTCATTATACATATTCTTTCAACACATCTTTTGGATATGTTAAATTATTAATATATACTATCTTTGTCCTGTACATTGTGGCAATCACAAAAGAAATGTTATTTTAAAAATTATCATAATATATCTTGTATCTGTATATTCAATTTGTTTAATGAACAAAATGATCTTATATAATGATTTCATATAAATATACAAAACCTTTATTTCAATATTCATTCATATACCTCCATGAACTTAATTTTGCTAAAAAAAATTATAACAAATTCAACATTAGCAAAATATGAAAATATTATCGTAGAATAAATATATGATACTTATAGACCATTAAATTTAATATGTTTTGTAGACAAAATTATTATTAAAAATTCTAATGATTTTGAAATCATTAGGATGTTTAATAATTTGATTTACTAGCAGAATAAAATGTAAAACTATACATATTTTTCATTGCATATCTACTAAGTTAACTATACAGACTCCAATTATTTAAATCCACATAACAAATAATTATTTTTATCATACTTCTAGCATTTTTTATCCTTCAAAGATTATCATGTAAATTTTACTATATAGTGAATCCTGCACATATGCTATAATATATAATAGACGCATTATATTTCAATTTTATATCCTATCAGACTAATGATATATACAAAAATCAATCACAAGATAACATACTTAGTCATAATTATTATTAGGTCATTGTGAAAATCCTTATTTTCATATAAATATTCATATATCTCATAATAATTTTACATTACAGGTGTTTGGTATAATGACCTCCATCTTTAGCCATACTTAAACTCAATTAGGTACACCAAACACTATAATTAAGAATTTAAATAAGATAAAAGGATCAACCTTAGCCAAAACTTTATAAAACACTCTTTGAGTAAATGGGATCCCAAAATAATTAAAAGTGAAGATTATAAGTTAAGGCTTTTGTAAAACACTTAAAATCAAAGTATAAAGGCTTGCAATAACATGAAAAAAGAGTTAAGCATTGAAACAGATTAAAAAAAGGGTAAAACAAACATTTCATCATTCTGAGAAAATTCACTAGAGCAGGTGGCACAAAGGCCGCTCGTTGTGGCCAACAATGTAATCTACCATGGCTTACCCATGCAACGTGTCTGCCATGGCCAATAAGACAAAGTGCACCCAAAAACAGTACAATTATAACAACGTTTAATTTTAAATTTCGACACCAAAATTTTAGCTCAAACCTCTAACTAAGGTAATCCAAACATCCTCACACAGGTAATTAATTTAATAATTTATCTTGCAGCCCCAATTTTATCATTATCCAATACAAAATGAGGATTCCAAAACACTTAGTACCAAGACATGCATTTACATTCAAAGCACCAAAACCAAGTTTCTCCCCACAAGCCATTAACATTCTCATTCAATAATCATAAATAAACATGCAAAGCAACAATCATGCTACTGCGTTTAATGGTAAATGAATCTTATACATTTGCATGATTGGCCTCACACAAAAAACATAGGAGACTAACATAAAAAAAATGCCAAAGTTAGATAATAGACACTACATGCAAACGAAAAATAATCTTCTTGATAATTAAATCCTTGGGTTAGAAATATATATATATATATATATATATTCAATTACTATATAAGATAACTACAGACTTTACAACAACTAAGCTTTAGTTCTTGGCCTTTCCTTTTCCCTTTCACCTTATCATCTCTTGGAAAAATATAATAAACAAGAGCGAGATTATTCAATCTCAATAACTAAGCAATTTAATTAAAGCATATAAAAGTAAGGTATTCACAATAAGCTATGCATAATAGCACAATAGGCAATACACATGTTATCATCAATGTGTCACTAAGCAATACATTTCATGATCAAATATAATTGCCTTTTTACACTCTTTATATTATCTAACCAAATCCATAGGCTAATAACTCATATAAGTCTAACTCATATAACTAAGTTAGCCCTACTCTTTAATTGTAAAAGGTTACTCGACCAAAGGCTCCTACACTCACTCTTGAATTATGGATTTTCCCTTCTCGAATTACAGGGTGTCATAATTGCCCAACTCACACTATTCCCTTAGAGACTAGTAATACTAAGCATCATGTCTAGCCCATGTCATACTCGTAGGTTATAACAATACTAAGTTCATGTATTAAATAAACTTGCCAACTACTGTGTGCGAACTCAGTGGAAACTACACTATATGAATTTTCTAATCATACCCTTTACTAACACTCAGTTGAACTCTCGCCTATCCATAATTATGCAAGTTCATTGAACACATGTATAAGCATACTCATATTCATATTTCACGAATTCAACGATTTCACAACTTATGAACTTGCATGCATTATTCAAACACATTAATTATCATACTTAATTTAAAGATCACAATCTC